TAACTAAGAGAGGGAGAGGTGGGAGAGAGAAAAGGACAACCAGTGACAAACTGATAAATTAATTTGGAGGTCAAGTTAAAGTAGAAAAGGATCAGAATTCCCTCCTAAATAAATGTAGACTACGTGCTGGGAAAGCTTAGCCCAACCTACAGTTGCCCAACAGCAACTACAAAATATGGACTTCTCTCTATAGAGGCAATTAAATAAAGCTGTTAATGCAAAGCAGAAGATTCACTGGGCCCATACACCTTTGAGATTTTAAAATTATATAAAAAGTGTAGGCTTTTATAAAAATTTTTAATTAAAAAACCTTGAAGTCATTCCAGTTTATATAGATGACACTATACTTGCAAAATATACTTAAAAATTTCCTACTTGACTCCTTACAACTTTAAATGTCTAGACAAAAAATGTACGTTTCCTACATAAACTGTAGTCTTTTATTTTCAAAATAAAATTGTTTCACTAGGCCAAATTAGGGTGAACTGTGAGTGCTTGAATTTGCAAAAACAATTACCCTTCAGCCGAGAAGTGTGTGTCCTATTTACAAATATTATTTGTTCTGAGGCACGAACTTTAAAGATAAAAATGAGAATCTGAGCAGGCCCAGTTTAAAAGCTGTAGTAGCCTCACAGCGCGGTGAGGCTCCTGACAGTCTTGGCACTGCGTCCAGGCACGGGCGGCACTCTGCTGGGGCGGCTGTCTTGGCTGTGAAGGCAGATCATGCCCTCTGTCACTCATGGGGAGCAGCTCTGCCCAACTGTCTCTTTTCAACAACTTTATCATCAATCTCTTTATTAACAGCTCCACTGCAGTCAGAAAACGCAAACAAGGACCAATTCTCATGCCAGATTTCTGGAAATCACACAGCACCAGGCACTGCACAGTGTGAAAGTTTGTGAGAAAGGTGCTGTGCCAAGAGAGAGGCAGATCCATAAGAAACAAGCTCAAGTTGGGACATTTTATGTTATTAAGCTAAAATACACGTTCCTACTTTTTTATGGCTGAAATCTGAGAACCCAAATACCCACACATAAGTGGATAGATGGAAACTGAGAAGGATGCAGCAGTGGCACACAGAGCACTTTATCCCCCAAACAACTTTACTACACTTCCAGAAATCTCCTTAAAGAGCAAAATTGTACTAGACACACCCACCCGCTCCAAAAGTTTTGACTATTTTAATTTTAGGACATGACATCATTAGACACTGCACAAGATGGAGATAAATGTTTTTGCAGTGAGCAAAAACCAACCCATAAAACGGAAATGTTTGAATTATTCAAAATATACATTTTCAGTAGGAAATCTGTTATATCAAAAATAATTTACAAATTAAAGGATATGATTTAAACGTCTTGCAAATTACTTCTGAGACACAGATCTAAGTCAGGTCATCATGACACACATAATATAAACAAGAAAATCTACATTAAAACTATACAAAGTTTAACTGCTAGAGGGGCACCTCAGCACTCCTTATAAATTGGGCTCTGGGAGATGAGATGTGTACCAAAACAAAGTGCTTCGGCTGGCAAGGACAGACCATGGGGCAATCTATGCTAACATAATGTACCAAACCACAAGATATTCATGTCCAAATGCATCCAGCTACCAAAGGTGAAGCTCTGAAGCACTTGAGTACCACAGTACAATTGATTGTACATTGCATCGGCTATGACTAAAAATTTACCAGAGTCAGGATTTATACTTCATACTCTCCCTTTTGTATGTTTTCGATTTCGATCTGATTTGTTTGAAAAAGGCATGAATAAAAAGGGTATTAATTACTCAACGACTATAGATGAAACTTTACAAAATACGTTTAAGATTTGACACACTCTAACTAGATTTACATTGTTCCAAAATTACACAACGTGCCATGTGGTCTGTCTCAGGGGTGTGACTGCCTGTATGCAGATAGAAAAGAAAGAGCAAAGACCACAGTGGCAGTGAGAAGCTTAAGCCTGGGGTGGAGCAGCTCTCTGGCTTCCAAACTCATTTATTGCACTATGTAAAACAAAACTGAGACACCTCGGCTTTCCCTAGTCAAGGCTAGTCAAAGAGACCCAGTAAGGAGTGTGGCAGGTTTGGTATAAATCCACTCTTACTACTATAAACAAACCCATCCCACACACACAAACTAAGCTGGGTAGCAGAGTACCATTCTGTACCTTCAGATGTACCAAAGTAAAACTTGCAATGCTTAAGTAAAACATACACTTTTGTTCTCATCTTCACCCTACTCGTAGTAGTTAAAGATACCCAAGCCAGATGGGAAAGTGAAAGTTAACATTTTAGACAGTAGACGGTTAAATTATCTCTATAAACACTAAACAACACTATGCTTTGTAGATATGATGTGTAGCTACATGAAAATACAAAGCATACTGAAGGATAATCAGAGAAAAAAAGGACAGTTGTATCTTTACACACAACTGTGAGGTTTCTAAAATGTGAACTTCAGGATAGCCCTAATTCTAACTTTTCAAAGAAAAGTGGACTTGAAATTCTACCCCTTTTAAGAAACTTCTTGGGTGGTTTGATCAGCTAGCTGCTAGAGTAGTTCCAAGAATACTGAGACAAAAGCCTGGCTCTGAGGAAGAAAATCACAAGCTGAAATGCTTTCTCAAGTGTATGAAATCACACTAGAATGAAGTACAACCACTCCGAAACACATGCTTCAGAAATATATATGCTATTTTTCTAGGTGCCAATAAAACAATATAAAATGTAACAATAATTTCTAAATTGATAAAGAGTACAGAAAGGATGAGTTGACCCTACAAATGAGAAACGGGTATCACAGAGAACTAAACAGACCACCGTCTCTATGGAACTGAAGGTCATGTTCATTACAGATCACAAGATACATCATTTACCAAGTTCAGATCTGAGTCAAGGCAGCATCCATTTGTGATTTTTGCACGAAGCTAACAGAACAATAACATTGAGAACTAAAAAACAAAACATACAATTCGGGATAAAAAGCAACTAATTTTCCCCATACTGTTCATCTTTATTAGAATTAAAATAGGCAAAGGAAGATCCACAGGACTGTTCAATGCCTTTTTAGGAAGTTTATCTTTTTATTTAACAAAATTCCCAAGGCTCAGTCTACAGGTTTGTGTACATTAATGATTTCTGTCCTTTCATCTATCAATTACAACTTGGAGCTGTGGATCATTTGCTACAAGAATGCAGCCAGAATACTATGCAGAGATGTAAAACATTTTTCTGTATGGAGACAAAAAAACAAACATTAATTAGAAAATAACTTTATTCCAGATTTTACTCAGCACCATGAAACATGCAACTTTCAATTATCATTTTACTAATTTAGCAAGATACATGAAATGTCAAAAATCCATGACAATGATTAAACTCGGTATGTTATTCAAATGCATGTCTGAATATTGGGAGTAGGCATGGAAATCTCTATTCTACACATGGTAGCAATGGAGTCAATGTTAACTTTTACATTTTCCTTTTGTTAGGCAAACCCAAAGTTGCAGTTTACTTTATTTATTTTTTGTTTTTTTTTTTGAGACAGGATCTCACTATGTAGTTGAGACTGACCTGGAACTCACTATGTAGCTCAGGCTGGTCTCAAACACACAGCAATCCTCCTGCCTCCCAAAAAAAAAAAAAAAAAAAAATCCCACATTGCACTCACAGAGTTCTCAGAATTTGGAATTATGGGAACAGAATGTGTGGAACTGTGTATCCCTTGGAATTATGTCTTTTACAAAGAAGTCCATCTCTCCACTCAAAACACCTAAGAAAATTATATCCAAGAGTTGTCCCTCACAAGCACACAGAACGGTTCACTCCTAATCTGTGAGTTAAGTACACAATGTGAAACATTTGGAGGTTTAAGAAAGGCATTATCTGATTTGGTTTAGTAAAATAATAAACAGGATCCTACCTGGTGATTGCGGTTTGTGAGTCTTAATCTAATGAAAAACAACAGTGCCACCTTCTGACATTAGAGATAAAATGCCAACTGCTTTAAAAACCAATACTTTTGAAAAAGGAAACACAGAGGACACTGCCTACCTGTACAGAATACATAATATATAGTATCTATAGCTACAAGAGTAAATATCATAAAGAAGATGGGATAGTTGAGAATAATTGGTAGCTATGGTCATGCTTTCCTCCTTAAAGATCAATTATGGGAAAAAACAAATACCTTATTATTATGTGATATAAATCATTATTAGGCTCCTGCTAATGACTTAACCAGAAACATATTTTTTCCCAATTTAACCAGAGTAAATTCTTTTGCAAATCTTCATTTGGAGCCACATTACAAACTTATAAGTAGAACCAACTAAAAATCACTGGGGGAAGGGAGACAGTCAAAAGAAATCAGCGAAATGAGGAATTATGCTTTTTTTTTTTTTAATTTTATTGTGTTTTCAATGGAGAAATACATCATCTGTTTACAAAATAGCTCTTGAAAAATACAAGGAGCACAGATACTATAAAACAAAGCAAACTCCAGTCATGAGACACTACATACATCATGCGAAAGCAACAGTCTGATTTCCAGATTATGAAACTAGAATTAAAAAGTCACTACACAGAGAAAGTCCAAGTTCGCAGCTTGGCAAAACTTGGATGCAATTACATGAAACGTTTAATAAACTGAAGTTTTTCCCCAATATGTAAACAAAATGACAAGACTAAATCTGTGCCTGGCAATTTCAATCTAACTCTGAAGCTACACAACACACACAGACACCTTGTACACTTCACCTGCTAGTTGACCATCTTCTCTTCCTAGGTGGTTGGGAGGAAGGGCAAGGCGACTGTGTGGAGCAAACATGTGGGGAGTAGAAATATTGTATACTAGACATTATAAAGTCATGGGGAAAAGAAAGCCTCGATTAATGCATAGCCTAAGGGGAAAAGACTATACTCCAACTTCAGCAAATTAATTTAGAAGGATGGGGAAGAGTTTTAAGTAATTGCAATTTAACATGAAAAATGTACATGTGATAGAATGGAGCACAATGGAAGATTCAAAAACATGCTCACTGGAGAAATCTTGTTGGGTTTGCTTTGTCCAGATTAAGAAACAGTAAGTCTATCAACATCTGGCATCCCTTATACATTGTGAAGATGGACGTTATGTTGCTTTATTATGAGAAATTATTTTCTATAAAGAAAGGTGGTTCTAATCCTTTGCTAGAATAAAACAAAACAAAAAAGAAGTAGAAGAGCTGACTAGATGTTAAGTGCTTGCTAGAAATGATTTTTAAAATGTTTTTTTATGTAAAATTTGCTGACAAATTTTGGTAAACCAGTTAAAAATGAAAATTAGTTTAAAAATCTTGGAGAAAATGCCTTTTTGCCCACATTTAAAATTGAAAATCAATTTATTAATAGGAACAGGAGATCTGTGGAGTGTACAAAATTCCTCTTATTTAGAGATCAAATGGCCATCCAAGTTAGATATCAGTTTCACAGAGGCATTAACTTTAGTCACCATAAAATTTCAGCCATGGGACCAAAATTTAGTGTTCTGTGCCATGTAGCCACCGGGTCACTGGTTTCACATCATGGCTTAAGAAAATACTGGCATTTTGGTTTTTGTGAAGTAAGTCCTACTTTATGCATATACACAAAAGGGGAGGGGGGGGCTGAAAAAAGGTTTTCATTTGTTTTAAAGACAACAGATAGAAGGCAAAAGAATATGGAACTTCAGTAAGCTCAAAGAAATATATTTGCTGGCTGATCACTGATTTGTATGCACTACAAAACGACTCTATAAATAAAACCAAGGGCCAGGGATTTAGCTCAGTGGTTCTGGTGCCTGCCTTGCAAGAGCAAGGACTTGAGTTCAATCCCTGGCACCAAAAAAATAAAAAATAAAAATAAAACCAATATATCATTTCTTAATCATAACCCCATCAAAACCAAGTATTTCCTAATTATTCTTTCAGTGTCAAACATACACCCAAGAGTTGACATTTCATTTTTCTGGGCTGCCACTACCTCACATGGACTGAACTAGATTTAGATGTACTCTTGTAAGATAGTACACCTCTGCACAACAGTATCCAATTTGAAGACTAAGGGTAAAGGAAATTCTTTGGGAAAAAATGAAAATCCATCAAGCTGAAAATCTAAAATTAGTTCTACTTTCTAATAAAAAAAAAATACATAAAAGTGCATCATCAGAATAAGGAATTCTTATGCCAGTTTGTATTGCAAATTTTCCAAACAATGCATCAAACATAAACCAAATCCAGATGTCAATTATGGATACAAATATAGCTTGAGGTTTTTTTTTAAAGGCAGTAATATTTTTTTTTTTTTAAATAGATAATGCAACTGTTGCTAACACAATAATAACAGTACTCCTGGCTTCACATACTAACCTGGACTTCCGATCAAGTGCTGATTAGCCCAGTGAGGGAGGTCACCAAAAAAAACCTAATATATTTTCAGTCTTGTCTAGTCTTGTACCCTCCATTCTTCTTTTTTTAGCATTTGAAGACAACAGGTTGAGTTGGCAGATATTGTTTATGGACCCCTGAGGTTGTTTTTACCGATTCAATCTCAGTTTTATTGAATTCTTGATAACTGGAATAGGATTTGCAGGGAGAGCAGGGATATCAGAAAGGTCTGTACTGGATGTTTTCTGAGAATGAAAGCAAAGAACACATGCATCACCATTCAAAGCACTGTAATTTAACAATGAGATGTACTTCCCACTGCTTTATTTCCTATTTCTTCCTAAAAAATAATGGAACCATATTTAAGGAAAATTTTAAAAAATGGGAGTGCAAATAAACACAACTATTATCATCACATTATTTGTTCTATATATGTAGAAATTGTCTAATAGTATTAGTACAAATATTTTAACAATATTTTAGCAACAGAGAACTATTCACATGTAGCTCTCAAAAACATGTTCAAGAACCTACATATGTATGGCATTTTAAATTTGTGATACACTATGATTTTTCTCACTCTAAATGTGTATTTTTGATCAGAAAAAAAAAGAATAATCTACAGTATAATTATCTGTTAAACTGTATGTACTTATAACAACAGTAATTATTAACTGGTACTGGAGCACCCCCGTGTGGGAGAATACTTAAAGTTCACCTTAAAAAAAAAAACAAAAAACAGTTGTCAGTAAATTTACTATTTCCTGACATTGTAAATTATAAAATTAAATCTATATAAATGAGCAAAATTTTAATTATTCTAAATTTTAGGCAGGTTTTCATTATATTAAGCAGATTAAATTATAAGCCTTTAATATTAAATAATGGAGATGTTATAAAATTTTTTATTATGGAAAATTCCAAAAACACAGACAAAAGCACAGAGAATACATAAGGAATTCCCGTGCACTCACTATTGAGCTTCAACTGTCCAATCAAAGCCAGTCTCTTGACCTCCCAACTCCAATTCCTGGATCACTATGCAATAATCTCAGAAATTCTATTCTTTTGTAAATATTTAAAGATTTACCTCAAAATAAAGACTCTGTTAAATATTAACACCTCGGCAGAAATAAGTAGTATACTTCTAGTAGTATCACAAAACAAAGAGAGGTGTTTTGTTGTTGTTTTAATCAACATAACTATACTTTTATGCTATCACGTGGTTTTTCTCTCACTGGCTTTATGGGGATAAAAAAAAACAAAAACAAAAAAACTCCTACTCATAAAAGTACCTAAAAAGCAAATACCCAATGAGTGTTAATGGCTGTAGGGATAAACTAAGAAAGACCAATCAATGAGAACACTATCTCAGAAAATAATATGGCAATCAAGATATGAAACCACAACCAAAGTACAGTTTAAATTTGTCCATGTATCAATTTTAAACACATTTTCTCCTTTAACTTTAGTTATTCCTCCAAAGTTGTATTAGTTTATGGAAATAAAAAATACTCCACAAATTAAACAAAATTCATGTATCCACAAGTTAACACCCAGTGAAAGCATATTTTGAAAAAATCCGAAAAAGGTATTAGCCTTCTATAAACAAATCCATTAAGAATGGTTTTTAAATTTTACTCTTTTGACATTTAAGTAAAGTGTCTGTAATATACAAAGGTATGAATTACAGTTTCTTGTTTTGGTTTGTTTTTTGAGATGGGGACATGACACACCAGTTTCATCAAATCTAGGGCCCTTTCTTTAAACTAGAATAAATACATTTATAGGCGTGCAAATACTTACTTTCACAAAGATAATTTTATAGGCCAATAAGAATGTTCATCTTAATTCAACACACCATACTAAGCTTAGAACATTGAAAAAATTCTTTTTGTACTAGTACCTGAGAGGCCAACAGAGAAGCTGCTGTCTGAGTAGTTTCTGATTGAGCTGTACATGTCTCTGTATCAAGTTGTTCCTGTGAGACAAAGAGGATGGGGAGGGGGGAAGAGACTTTAAAAAGAATAAAAGAACATAACTGGGTCTGGTGGCTAATAACAAAGACAAACTGGAAGACAGGAGGGATCGCAAGAGAGACGTGACTACATTACAAAATCATTTATTAAGCCTTGTTGTAGGTTATTTCAACATTTCAGATACTTCTATTTGTCTATTTAACTCTCACATAAGGTATGGTCAAAACATCTCATGACTTTACCACTAGGCTCCAACCTGGGTATATTCTAAGTAAATGGTGAGTAAAGACATGCATGGGTATATGAGGAAATACTGTCCAGACAATAATTAACAAATAAGAGCCCAAAGACTCTCCTAATTATGTGTACAAGTGTGTGTGTGTG